TGTAGCGTTAAGGTTCGTAGTAAGGTTGCCAACCGACCAATAGCGAAGACCCGCTTCGAAATGAACAACGCAACATCGTCACTTATAGATCTCAAATAGAACCGACTTTTAATAGAGTGGTACTGTATGGGCGAAAGGAAAAATTATTAAAGAAAAAAGTGATTTAAGTTAGGTTACATTCTCTACCAGGAACGTATATGCATTTTACAGACTTTAACTAAGCCAATATAATCCTCAATTTTTAAGAGTTAGTCAAGGATCAATTGTAAAACGTCTTTCTGAACGTCTAAGAAGACTTTCGAGCCGTCAGCTTCAGCTTCCAATACAATTAGAAGCGGATAAACAATTAATTCATTATTTGTTTTATATCTAGTGAAATCCCCGATCTCGTGCAGGCCGTTTGTTGCTATTTCGTTCCACACGATCGGTTTAGACAACCCAGTAAGAGTTTGTTGAAGTATTAGATTATATTCAATATGCCCGGTGGAGCTTAAACCGTACAATTCTACAAAGTTATTTTCGAAGAATAGAATATTTAGAAAATTCCAAGGTTTTTAGAAGAACTTTGGAACAACATTTGGTGATCCGAACGGGTCGCCTGACCTTGCGGGGTAACTACGATAATCGCTGTGCTGTTTAAGGTAAGCATAAAGTGTTTAATTTTTAAATCTGTCTTTTGGCAACTATGAATATTCTGACTCGTAGAGTGCTCTGAGCGAAGGGAATAAGTAGAAAAATCGATTATTCACACACACCTTACACCTATGCATATAGAGAGAAACCAGATGACCTTTCTAATGACCCCGTTAATGCTCTATTCTAACACGAAAAATAAGATGAGGTATAACAAAAAACTATGTACGAGCGGCTCACCCACGATGAACACAGTTACAAGGCAAGTTTTCCGCAAGGTCTGACTGCCAGTCATTTAGCTCCCAAGCCGACGCTTTGAACAATAGAACAATGAATGAACGGTTCGATGGAAAAACTATTGAAAATACATCTTAATGAGCTAAGGCGAGCCACCTTCCCGGCGAATACTAGGTCGACGAAGATTTGAGCTAACTTGATTATTGTACTCTGGCTATTGCTAATATGACAACTTTTTATTGGTAGCAATAGCCTATAGCAATATCTAGCAAACATCAATATAGATTCATACATAAACATGTAGGCATAATCAGCTGATGTTTAGAGCAAATACAAATCGCCTTGCGCGGTGTATCGATAACATTGGCCTTTCCGACCTGGCTAGGCATATGAGCTCTGAAAATCCAGGGGGCATGATCCATATCGGCACATACCGAACATTAAGTTATCTGCTAAATGTATTTACATTTATCGCTAGTGGTCTCGCGTTAAGTTGTTCCGAACGTAATAATGATTTTATTTTACTAAGGAGCTTTTGGTCGAATTATAGCAATAAGATAATTCGTTACGTATTTTTCGCTACTCTCTACCACTTCCCTCTATATCCGAGCCAAGTTTTCTTATCTCCCAGAAACTTTGAGAGTTAGTGTTGAAATTTAAGTGCATCTTGTTTTTGACAAACTTTTCGTTGCCAAATATGCTCGATTGGCATTGTTGTTCAGTTTTCAAGTTGTTCAGTTCAACCGAGTCATATGCAGAACCTTGTTGACCGTCCTTTTTGATCTTTAGCTAACTTTAGGTTCATATGTATCACCCCCAGCCGTCCATTAATTGCTCTGCTATACGGCGACGCAAAGATTTGGGACCCGTTGCAGCGAATCTGCGTCAAAAACTTATTCAAAAATTTGGTGCCTGGTTGTAGGTTAACGATGAAAACGAACCATGTGTTTTTGTGTACTTGTTTCAATTTATGGGGTATATAAACTTCTAACTTCGCTTATCGTCCAAAATCCCTATTGACCTTGAATGGCCGACCGGACAGGGCGCATCTTAAAGATATCTTTGAATTCAGTGAACCTATTCAAGCAAGCTGCTATCTCAGTTATAGAGCTTCCACTGTAAACAGCACAAAAAACCGTAGTAAAAGACGAAATGTAGCAAGTGCCAAAAATGCAGACCCATCTTTGGAACCTACACTCAAGACAAAAGTTCTATACCGAACACAGTCGACGAACACATGGAGGAGAGAAAACAGTGTGGAATAGTTCAGAATAGAAGCAAAAGCTTGTAGATAAAGCCAAAATGGAACATTTGAAAAAATTGCTATTACTCTTAGACTAAAAGCGTTTAGTTTTACGCACCGGTGTCGACGCCGTTCAAACTTAAAATCGTTAACGTTCTGGTCCTAATAGCCCAGGCCTTTAGAAAAAAACGTAAAGTATTTCACACCGTTAAACTGTTCTCACGCTTTTGTTCCTCCGCATTCGGTCGACAGGAATATATTTATTTGCAGGTCAGTGCGCCTTTTCTACGTTATATATTTAGAATCCACACATGGTATATATAACGCCTATGGAAGTATGATTCGGAACAGGTAAAGCAAGACGTCTGAGTCTTTTCATTGTACCTACCGCTCGTATTTGCTGCTTAGGAAACAGACGCCATCGCTTATTCCAGCCGTTACGTTGGGCTGCTGCTACTAGCCGGCTACCTGCCCCGTGGTCGTCGGCAGTTCCAATATTGCCGCCGGTTCCAGCTGTAGGTAGTGGCTCCTTTTCCTGAGCACGTCATCCAAAGAAAATCATGTTTTTATCGTCATTACCTTTATTGCTAAATCGTTAGGCCGACTTCGGTATCGAGATTAGCTATAAAGTACAGACGGCAACTTAGCACCTGGTGTATGATAGTGGTAGAACGAGACGAGCTTGAGCTTGACGCACGCTGCTTTGTTTGCTGAAATCTACTGCCTATGTTATGACCACCGTGCCAAAAAACAACCATTTCGCAGAACTGACCGTTTGTCCAGTCTGGCTGATCCGTCAAGGAACAATACCTTAAAACACAAGCAACGAGGTTGTTGATTGACATTGTCAGTATTGTGATTGCTCTTTCTACGCCTTCAATTCTCAACGTTACAGCCACAACTGTTACTATCGATGGATCGTTAAGAAGCCCTCACCGAGGTCAGCTATCAATAAACGCCATAAGCATGCTTGCAGGAGCCTGTTTACAAAGAAAGACGACCTATAATTGAGTTAGCCGCCGCCCTCAACGGCGACTGTCGCATAAAATATGCTACTCTTTCCTTCCTACACGACGCTAGGAACAATAAGTAAGCGTCAAAGGAAGTACATTGCATGTAATATCTGCAGTAACAATTACACAGGGAGAGATGCACACACTCACAGTACTTTATGATATGAACATAAGAAGTGCCAGTTCTATTTTACAGCCAAACCTAACAGGTTCTCTGCCTAAGGAAAGAGGCGAAGTTATCGACGGATAACGCCGAAGGCACACCTACTCTTCAACATGAGATTGTTTTCCAAATCCTCTAAACGACATACGTCCCGAATATACGAAGTAGTCGGCGGCTCAGATCCGTTTCGGACAATAGGAATAGGCCGGTAATGCTTTCAAAAGGATGAAGGGAATATGGTAAAAACACAGTGGAAATCAGATATTAACAGGATAGAAACGCTGACCAAGAGGAAGTGAAGAATGTTTCGAAGAAATTACATATAATAAAAATAGTGCTTTAAAAAATGTGCACAATCTTATATATATATA